GGTGCTCGGCGAGCCAACTCCACTCTGATATCCTGCCAGAGTACACACGGAAGGCAAAAAAAAAAAAAGAGAAGAAATGGGAACATGAGATGCTCAAAGAAGGCCAAAAGTCAAATGTAATTCCCACACAGATCCAATTTGAAGAATTTTTACTTGTACCGAAAATGATGGCTGTATTAAACCCCGGCCCATTCTTAGTCCCGCTTATCACGAGTTTTAGCAAACTAGCTCCAGCTCTGGATCCTGTGTGTCTGCAGGTTGCAGCCTGCGGGGTAGGTAAGGGTTAACCTCCCCCCCTGCTCTGCTAAATGCTTGCTGAGTTAAACAGGCTCAAATGTTGAGCTGTATTTGAAGAGTGGCATTAGGGATATCCTCTTAGTCTTCAGTTTTTATTCTTTGGCTACGAGTTTATAACTGAGTAGAAGCCCTGACATATACTTCAATTGATTATATCCTTCATTTTCCACAACTTTTCCAAGTAATCCGTTTACTTTGAGCTGGGGGAAAGTTCCCCGGTTGTTTTTCACAGATGAGAGTGGCTGTTTTGAGCCTCTGGGCTAATTTGAAACATGTGGTCTGGTGTTTGCTGCGAAGTTAGAAGACATTTGTTTTTCCCCTTTTTGTCAGTGAAACTCAAACAGACAAATTACGACGTCGCAAAGAAACAAGCAAACCGAACAACAGTCAGTGAAACAGCCCATTAGGCTGCCTGGTGAACTTCATACCTCGGCACAACTTTTTTTTTTCCCTCCTGTTTTCTTTTTCCTTTTTTTTTCTGTAAGAGAAAGAAGAGAGGCAGTCGGACAGAACAGAGAAGATTGGTTCCTGAAACTGTTGTTCTACCCTGCGATTGGTGGAAGCCTGTTGCTAGGCTTATGTCAGAGTTTGAGTGTTTTCTGCTTCCTCTCTACTGTGCGCTGATAGGTCTGCTTTGAGCTGCTCTGGTGGACCTCTGCCACTTGTTGAACATCCCCACAGTTTCTGTGGTTCTCTGTGCGTCTAACTGCATGAGAAAACACAGCAGCCGCAGCGCAGAGACACATGTGTGCAGAGTTTACGCCTGGCAAGGCTTCCTCTGTTTTTTAATCTCAATAACTTTTATCATCCTCTATATTGGTCAAAGGCTGTTTTTAATTATGTTGTGCACTCATAAAGGAAAAAAAAAGCTTCTTCCTCGAGCAATTGAGAAAGCAGCCGTCATACTTTAAAACTTGCCTGAACTCAATCTTTTTACATTTGGATGAAAAACACTGTATTTCACATTCAGCGATCGGTTTTATTAGCACAGGCTTTAGCAATATTTCAGTGTCAAATACAGAACTGTGTTCTGAAGAAATGAAATTCGGCAGCATCGGTTTCACCTATTGATCATTGTAGTTATCAAAGTTTCGCTTTCCTTGTGGTCCTTTTAAGAAATAACAGTCATGCTGTGGCTGAACCAGTTTCTGGTGTTTACCTTTGAGTGCAGATATGGTGGAGCTGCATGTTGGATTCCTTTCATAACAAGATTTCATATTGTCTAAAAAAAGCTCTTAAATGTACTTTTTTTCCTACCTCTTGAACTGTCAACCTCTGAGCCCAGTAAATATGTCCATATAAACTGCTACACTGTTCTTCCTGAAGGGAGCATTGCCTGATGCTCTCTGGACAAAGTACCTTTTAAGCCTCTATGGCCCCCAGTTTATGGCTTAAAACAAGGTTATGCAACTTTTCTCTGAACAACAACCTCTGTGGTCACAATGCAGTTATGGTATACACTAAAACGAATCGATGGAGGCATTTCAAGTGGAGAAGAGTCTCAAAGTCATTAACAGAAAGATCCACTCTTTGTACAGAGTTGCCCTCACAGGCGGGTGATGGCAAAATAGAGGTTGCAGAGGGGTGATCTCTTTCCAGGGCTTCTTGGTGGTGTGGTGGTTAGCACTTCCGCCTCACAGCAGGAGAATTCAGGTTTGTGTCCCTGTAGGCTGCATTTCACATGTTCTCCCTGTGAATGCCTGGGACTCTCCACCATGTTTTATTTAATCAAATATCTAGTTATAGACATGCTCTCATTTTTGTATAAACTAAACTAAGAATTAATTTATGGTAAATTATTGAAATGCTTAAGGACATTTCTTATTGTATGTATACTCATTTTTCTACCTCCTGATGTAGTTTAAATACCAACTACCATGTCCTGTTTTTTTAGATTGTCTGACAAGTGTTCAGGGTCTAAACAACATACGTTCATGCTAAGATTTACTAAAAGGGCCAAAATGTTTTGTCCTTATTTCAGAACTTTGTATTTTTGGCATCTGTTTGCAAAAACTAAAAAAGTAAGTTCATATTAGTAGAAGTGATCGCCATTCAAGCCGGTCTCATTCATATTTAAATTTCGCTCTTGTCAGGCTAAACTAGTCAGAAATCTTGACTAAAAATCAGCCGTGGGAACTATATGTCAAGTTGCTGTGTTTCTGCTCTTTTAAATTCTGACTTTAATCCCCAGCATAATTTGACAAATCTCAGACAGATAAAGTTAGAAGCTGGAAAATGTCTGGTGAAATGGTACCTTACAATCAATGTATCTTTTTGGGGTGATGAGGGAACACAAATTAATGGGGGGGGGGGAAATCCCTTTTAGCTTAATATCACGATTAACCCTCTACTCCCAGTTCACAAAATCATCCATTGTTGAAGTGTCTGGAAGTGTGTCCATGATGTGGAGCTTTCCTCCAACAGGCTAAAGGAAACCAACCTAAGAGGATTCCTGTTGCTTCCAGGAGTGTTCCCATTCATAGGAACTAACCTTTCCACATGTAACAAACAGTCACATCTTCCAGGCAGCCGTCGGACCTCACAATAAATAGATGCTTGGAAGACACCAAATCTGCTTGACGCAGTCCACACTGACTTTACAGCCTCATTAACATTCAGACTCACTGCAGATGAATCCAGACGTGTGGCAGACGCTTCTCAGACTCGTGCCTTCAGACTCACCCGAGACACCTGCGCTGTGGTTTGTTATTTTTCACACTGTGTTCTGCAGCATCTTCAAAGAAAGGAACACGCGTCCATATCAAGGTCTAGGCCCGACAGTTTAGTCGAGCCTCCCCAAATTTTGTCAACGCTTAAGAGAAGTGTGCAGACAACACAGCCGACTGAAGATAAGCACCCTCCAAAACGGGTTTTTAAGAATGTTTTCGACTCTCTATGAATCTTATATATTATGTAGATGGTTGGTGTTTTCAGTCATATGCACAGTCCATAGGATTCTTATGCTAGTTTACCATTGTCAGTTCATTAAAGGGTACCAAATCCAGCTTTAGTCTCATTACTGGGACACATCAACACCCCTGATATATTACATACAGTGAAGTCTCCACCCTAGTCAGTACGCACGCTCTCACAATAGTGTTTGGCTCTGTCCGCAAGGCCGGACCCCCCGTGCCTTTATGTGAAAAGGTCGGGTGTGTGTACTGTCCGGCCTAACGCTGACCAGCCTCTTCTGCAGCTTTGCTGAGCCATGGGGCTCCCGTCAGATCTGGGAGTGCTGACTCCAGCCCCTGGGAGCATGTTTACCGCCGGCCCGCACCCCACCCTGTGGCACCAGGAGAGGACCTGGCAAGAGGGGGGGTCGGGGGGTGGTGGTGGTGGTGGTGGTGGGGGGGGTGTAGCCGGACGGACACAATGAACCTGCTGAATGCGGTGCTATCCTGTTATCGGTGCCGGCTTGACAAACTGGCCGGACAGGCTCGCAAGCGGCAGACCTGCCGGTTCCAGTTGTCGATTTTCATATATTGAGCTTCTTGATCTGTTTCTCGTCGTTTGAAAGCTGAAATTTGTATCCCCGGTGCGGGGATGCTTGGTGGCGTGGCTCCCTGAGAACTATGAAGTGTGCCCCGCTTCAAAAGAAAAACGCAAATTCAGCCGTCTTATCGCGATGTGACCTAGACTTAGCCGTGAGGCCTTGTTTTGGAACCTCCTCAGATGTGGTCCCGGGCCGTTACTGGCTTCTGCAGCCACCGCGGAGCGATAAATGAGAGAGAGGCCGGACGTGTCACCGTCAGGCTGGCGTAAACAAAGCCAGAGGAGCTGCCTGCTCTTATCTCTGCTTCCTCCGTGTCTTTTGAAGCCCCACGTTCGGTGCAGCCCCATTGGTAGAGAGAATGGCATTATCTGTGGTCTGATAGGCTGCGGGGAGAAACCACCAACTGAAGGGCTGCAGCAGAGCAGGTCTCTGTGTCTGTCTGCCTGTCTGTCTGTACGTCTGTATGCCTGTATGTATGTATGTATGTATGTATGTATGTATGTATGTATGTATGT